CCCCCCCCCCCCCCCCGGGGTTTACCTTGAAAAGTCTCAGTATACTTGAGTACACCTGGACGATGATCTACATGCTATCTTGCTGACTCATTTCTTGTAAGTGGTCATTTGTCGCCTCGGACGCCCCCGATTATCACATAGGAAATGGTCTCAACTTTGCTACTTCAAGTGCCTGGCTGGTTGCGAGCGTGGTCCTCCATTTTTGGATGAGGCGGGACAACAAAAAGAAGGACACCAAGGACGTTGAAGCGGAACTACGAAGCTTGAGTCAGAAGCAGATCGAGGATCTGGACTGGAAACACCCAGCATTTAGATGGAAACCTTGAAAGGCATCACGACAGGCAAATGGAGACGTGACATATTGTGCAAGAGAGTAAGGTGATCATATTCGTTATTGATGCGCGGGGGTATTTTCTTCTGCCTGCAGAAGGGGTAGCATCAAGGCACTGTAATCTTCCTTCTCGAAATTCCCACCCATCTGGCTAGTGGCCGTTTCCTAAAGCATAACCATATTTGCGCCGTGCATCGCTCAAGTCGAAAAAAGCAGAACAAACTAGTACAAGCCAATGCAAATGTCTCCGCGAACTCTTGCCGTCAAGTGAACTTCAGCCTCGAGATCCAGCTTGATGCCGACGAGCAGTGCCGCCTTGGTGTTTCTTCCCTCGTCGTCGGTCGCACCCCGAAGCAGCTGGCCTGAAATGTGTGTTAGTAAAATGTAGGAAGCCAATATACAAAGAGGGTTGAAGAGGGAAACTGACCAGCCGGGGCAGATAGTCCCGAGGTGGAGGGTAGTTGGGGCATTCCCTGCTGGTGCTGGTGCTGCTGTTGCTGTTGCTGTTGACCGTACGGACCGGTCTGAGCCAGGGCTCGACGTCCTCCGCGCGCCTGGCCATCAGAGTCTGAGTCGCTGTTGAAAGCGTTGTCGTTCTTAAGAGGGTTGCTGGAACTATGGTCTATGTTAGCTCTAGGTATCACACCAAGAACAGTGGATTTACACCTACACGGTAGCCATTTTTAAAGAGTAGTTTGAAGTGAGTCAAGTTGGGATTGGCGTAGATACAATGTATTGCTTGATTTCTTTTTTGTTGCTGTTGTGCTCTTTGTAAGACTTATTGAACTTGGGACGACTGCTTCTTTTATACAATATCAACCCAATCTTGTCCATGTGCATTCCCACCAACACTGCTCAACTGTGTTGTTACTACGTGCCGATAATTGAGCAAGAACCCATAGTTTCAGAAATGAACCTTCTTTGGTGTCACCATATTCGCCTCGCGGATATTGACATCTTTCGATTAGACCAAGTCGAGAAACGCTGGTAAGATCCTCCCAAGTATGGGATTGTTTCGTTGTCGATGTCGTTCTGCCCCACTGGCTGCATGGTATATCACCAAAGCCAAGCATGGCTTTAGTTGCATTGAACGCTAGGACTCTGCCCACACGCCCGTGCCGCATCCGATGTTGAAACACTCAACAGTCTCGCTCCGCAATTCGGCCAGGATGGGACCCAAGGTATCAGTTAGCCCCTATGGTTCGATAGGGACTTTGCTTTCTGGTTATGGCATGATCATGGCCCCATTGGATGTTGGCGGCCTTTGTTCTGGCCCCATTTGAACTGAACGATCGACGCTATAGTGCTGAACCAAGCAGTATACTACGGGCACGGCAATAACATGCTTGCAGTTCGAATGGTCCCTTGCATCTGGGCAACTAAGCTTATTACTATTTCGGTCGCAATTGGACATCACAGCATTGACGGATCTTGGGGGAATCACTGGTTTTCCATTACTGAAGGACAATTTACAAATCCCCGCCAAACACGACGATAACAAACACGCCATCATGGTTATTGGCATGCTCCTAGCCATCACCACCTGCCCTGCTATGCTTGGGACTCAGGAAGCAATACGGCAGAGCCAATCCAAGAATCGCAGAGAAGAGCACCGAGGACAGCGGTGCAACTTGATCGTTGGATGTGTGCAGCCTTCGACACGAAGTCGAGAAATTAACAATAGGATAGTCGTTCTGAGGGAGTCCAAAGTATGGCTAATTCCGAATCATCGCACTGCGTTTCGCATATTACACCCTTCTAGTGAACACGAGACTGACATTTACTTCTCTTCACAGTTGTATGTAGAGACGGGAGTAGAACCCGACGAGTTTTCCGACGACAAAGAACCAGTTCCGGGGTCACATCCATTCTGTGGTTACTTTCTACCTTACCCCGATTCAAATCATGAAGGCGTGGTCAGTACCATTACACACGTTGCACCCATTTTGAACTGGATATATATCGACAAGAATACGTACGAGCTCAAATATGGTGTTCGGGATTTTGCGCAGCCAAATCTCACGGGGCCCTTTGATTGCACCCGCCAGGACAGGCGCATGACGTTTGAAGGATGGGAAGGCTTCGTTGCCGTCGAAGAAACTCCGGGAGTATGGGCACTATACTTTGACCGCGATGACGACGGTTTGAGATCAAAGTTTCCTCCCTCTACGAGAATCTTGGAAGTAGAGCTTACAAGGAGGGAGAAGAAGGTACCAAAACCTGCAGAGGATTCGGCGAAGACTCTAGACGAGATGATGCGGCAGCAGCAGCAGCAGAAGCAAGATCAAGACCAGTCAGAGGTGGCAAAACCACAGAGGTTATCAACTCATATACAGACAAAATAATAATCACTTGTAACCCAACATGGTCATTTTCATCGATGCGTGTTATCCTTTGTATCACTTATTTAAGACATAGCTGCCTGGGAACATTAAGAAGTACATGGTGGACAAATCGAAAACCACAACCTCTGTTGAGCCGATGCTAAAACGGATCAACCTTCTCTTGGCAAAAGAGATGAACAAATAAACCACCTTGAAGTAGAGCTCGGGAAAAATCAAGAGCAGGAACCAACCCCGGTTCATTTGGATTGTGGGCAGGGGGCCACGTAAGAGTGAATTAGAGGTTGATCAACCGAGACAGCCGGATAAGGCAACATTCTAGACAACAGCGACTTTTGATATAAGCTTTCTGTCGAGGCTCTTTGGCATGTCCAAACAGGGTTGTCTGACGATTCCACCCAATCGGTAACTTTCCTGTGGAGCTCGAAGAGAGGTTCCTGAAACTGTTCCTGAGCCTCCTTATCAGTGAGGATCCATGCCCACGCTGCGTTTCGGGACTGCTCGTACGACGACACTCCAGATGGGACCAGAATTGAGAAACTCGATCACAGTTGTCTCTATTGTGTAACAAGACTTTATTGTTGGCCCACGCTGGCCATGTACTCGTCTGATCTCTGCCAATACTGTCTCAGTGATCCGCAGATGCGACATTCAGATTTATGCAATCCAAAGATTATTTCCTTTGCGCTATCCCAACCACGGAGCTGAGTCTATAGATGATCAACTTGAGGATTAAACAAAACTGCTTTTTTCTAAAGTATTTTGGTCGGCTGTATATCTCACATGGCACAATTGCTGGTTTGATTGTGACAGTGCTGGATGACTGAGCGCGGACATTAGCAGGCAAACATCGCCATGCCGTTCTCAATACGACGACTAGAATGCTATCCAAAAGACTCGAGGAGTTGAGCCAAAACCCAGATGACCCCAACGGCATTGCAGAGCTGTCTGTCACTGCGCTTGGCCCGCGGGGAAGTTTCTATATATGCTGGAAAACGCCATCAGGGCAATACAGACAAGGTAATTTTGGCGTCTTTGTACTTGTATTTTTTTTTTTTCGCTGACAAAGACAATAGACGGTCATGGATTGCCGCAAGAACTCCAGGAATGGCTCTTTCCAGTGAATGGCAGCGCGAGGGACTTTGCAAGCCTCCAGGTGATCCTTGGGCCAGGCGACGGCGACTTTGTAGCCTCCGACTGTAATGGCCGGGTCGACCGAAAGACTGCGGAATACGTCCTCAAGCCTCTTGAAAGGGCTCGTACGTTCAAGTCTTACGACGGCGCCACTGGCTCCCGGCCATTATCCATGGTTATCAACCCTACGGATACAACGCATGCGAATATACGACAGCGCCGAGCGGCAACCGTCGGGTCGTCGTCCGCTTACTCTGAGAGTGACCGCAGGACGAGCGTCATCCCCGAAGAAGCGAGCTCCGCAGCCGGAAGAAAACGGGAGGAGACGCCCCGGCTCGCATCATTGGTGCCTTTGGCAATTCGAGTAAACAGGTTTCGTCGGCGACCTACAAGCATGCACTATAATGGATCACAGCCTCTAATGAACATTGATCCCCCTCAAGATACGGCCACAGCATTAATGGAGCAGTCATCTCGACGACGCGACTCTCAAAATAAACTTTTACCGTTGTCCTCGCAACGCGCAAGCACATTGACGGCTTCCGATGAGAAGCCCAAGGAACCTATTAGTCGATACGTCGATGCATGCGTTCAGACCGAAGCTGCTGTCCCACTGTCACCAATCCAAACCACATTCCAAGATTATAACCAACACAGGAGACATGCTCGAGACTCATCATCGGCATCAAGCAGCTCGTCTGTTTTCACATCATTTTCCTCCGAGCCATCTACTCGGCGGTCGAGCTTTGCCACAGAAGAGCAGAGTTACAAATCATACCAGCGCCCGACTTTTGGCTACATGCCAAACCCAATCATGATGGGAAGGATGCAGGACTATTTTCGTGCAACGGGGTATCGTCTTGGTGATGCATTACAAGCTTGAGCGGGCACAGCTAGACATTTACACAACGTTATTACGCATGATACCATTTGTATCTCTTGGAAGTAGGTTGATTTCAAGGCGTTGGCTTCATGATACTTACGGTTTAGACTTCCCTCTTGCTTTCCTTATCTTGGCGCATTGGCAACCATGTATTTAGTCCAAAAAGAGGAAGAAGAAACCCATGCTGATTGCATCAACTCGGTCTGAGCAACCGAGAACAATAAAAAAACAGATTTATCAACCAGAGCTTGCCATTAGCCGTATCGCCGCCACTCCGGCCCTGCTGTTCCCGAAGCTGGTGCCGGAGGACCGGGAAGAATCTCTCGCAACAAGTGGTTAATGTTGAGGCCGTTGTTTCTCGGCAACTCCCACTGCTTTGGATATCCCAGCGAGCATTCCTCGAATCTAACGCCATCTTTCCAGTCTGTCCTAGGGACATGTAAATGTCCACTAACCACAACCTTTGTGTTATTGAATCGCTTATGCCAGTCTTCCGTCTTCTTGGTCCCACACCACAATTTGAACCGCGGCACGCGGGGAATGTGCACGAGATCCTCCCGCAATGGCCAATGATTTACCTGCCATTGGTGAGCATAGACCAAATCAAGCCGAAGTGTAAGCACACTTACTATAATCAATGGTAGATTCCTACTATTTGCTTCCTCTAGCTTGCGCTCCGTCTTGATCACGAGAGCATTGCACCAGTCCTCCCGCGTCGGGAAGGGATCCGGGTGCAAAAGAAACTCGTCCGTGGCTACCGTGTCCGCCTCGCTGGCCCACTGGAGCGCGGCATCCTTGTCCATGCCCTCGGGCCGAAAGGTATAGTCGTACAGCGTGAAGATGGGGGCGACAATGGCGGCATCGTCCTCGCTGCTGCCGCCACCGCGCCACTCGACAAAGTCGTCCTCGGGGGTCCAGACGCCATAGTTGCGCGCAATCTCGACGCACTCGGCGTACTTTTCCTCGCCCCGCAGCGTCGTCTTGAGCGCCATGGTGTAGAGCTCATGGTTTCCGGGACACCACCAGACTTGCTTGAATTTGCGCACAGCGGCGGTAAAGGCCAGCTCCAGGTGCGCTGCACTCTCGCCCACGTCGCCGCATAAGATCAGGCCGTCATCGGGGTGATCATCAAGCAGCTTCCAGGCCTCGGTGTTGAAGGGGTGCCCGAGATGTATGTCACCTATGGCGTACAGTTTGCCCATTGTGCTTGTATATATCCTCCCGAGAGAATCCTATAGGCCTTGGAACTTGTGTCTTTATTTGACTGGCAATTCCTTTGTGTAATATGTGATTATTTATGGTCACTCAGCATGGCACGAAGAATGGGATTTGCTGATATCTGACTGCCACGTTCCTCATGCCAGCGAGACTTCCTGCGGTAAATTAAATGTACGATCCTGATAGCGGGGTAAGTGAAATATTCTAAATTGGTGTCATTTGGAAATAGTAGAGTAAGGGTAGTGCTCTATGAGAATAAAATATTCGAGGTGTTTGATGGATACGGAGAAACTCTATCAAATATCGGGGGTCGGTGTTGCGGAAAAGGGTAATTGTGCACAATCTGGCCATGATTACCTGCTACTGGGTACTCAAACGTACCTATGTGTCTGGTCGGCGACAGTAAGCAGCCACATCGTCAACAGTTGGCACCAGGTGCTCCGATAATGAGGGTCTCATAATTTTTTGAAAAGTCGTTGAAACACGTTGTCGTTTTATATCCATATATTATAAATGTATTCTACATTCTATAGTATAAGATATAGTATATGATCTCTATGGCGCTAATACAGTAGCATCTTCAGTTTCATTGCACTATTTTTATGCGTTTGTTACACTTGGAGAAATATGGCGGTCATGGCGTCCTACCTAATCGTTAGGTTATACTTTGACGATGAAGAAATATCGTCCAGTGCTTGTCATGCTTGCCTCAGCAAATACTGAGTCAAGAACCTTCCGGATCATTCTTCTCTGTCTGTCTTGGACCGCTATAGAATTTATTATATAATGTCTGCAGCTCCAACGACACTGAATATGCGATCAACATTTTAGCAGCCGGGACTTTGGTGCCGATGATCGGGTTGGCAGATCCGACGGCTGGCGGCAACTGTGGGGCATCTTAACGCCGAGCGCCTTCCTGCACGTCATGCTCAAGATTCGGCAATGGCACTCAGGACCCTTGAAAAATAAGAGAAGGTCATGAGAGAGCTTGTACCAACCACAAAATGACTGAAGCTCGAGCTGCAACGGATGCGTCGCCGCCATCTATCACCTCGCAGGTTGATGAGTCCTTCTCCAAGCCTCGTCCACGCGCTCCCCGGAGTCCCGCTCAAGCGGCCCAGGTTCGGAAGACAAACCGGCGGCAAGAGTTTTTAGAACGACATCCGTCCTACTTCGACTCTTTGGAGCACGAGCTAGCCGGTAAGTGGGTGAGATCCATCCGACGGGATCTAGTCATTTGACAATTTTCCCCCTTCTTCCTTCATGCTGTGTCTTCTTGTCTGTTCCCTCTGGTTCCACGAACTTCCCTCGCTCATCAAACAAAGATCCAATCCTCTATGACAAGCTGATCCGTCGCTTCCAAACGGCACAAGAGCGGGAGAAGGAAGGCAAAACGAAGGGGTACTCCAGAGTTCTCGAGGTTGATTTACTGCGCGGGGAGGCAAAATTATCGCAGCTCGCAGCCGAAGGGAATGGAGAGCGAAACGAATCGTCTCACACACCCTCAGATTCCTTCAGCCTAGGTCTGAGGACGCCCACAGCCGAGCCAGAGACCAAGGAGGAAGGGCGCGAGCGATGGAACAGCTTCCTGAGAGAGCGTTTCACCTCTGGCCAAGATGAAGACTTTGACTACGACACCGTGGATGCAGACGACTCTCTCGATGTGTTGGAAAGACGTGACGAGGAAGAGGCTTGGTTCAATGACGAGGCACCTGGCTGGGCAAGCGACGGGAAAGACGAATTCACGACGGACAGAAAACAACTTCAAGGCGAGACTGGTATCCAGGATTTCTGAGCATCTTTGCGAGCGATCTATGTTCAAGCATCGACTTCCTAGCAACATTTTCCTGGCTATTTAATGCCATGCCTCCTGCGAGAATCAACATCTCCGGGTCTTTGATTGTTTCTCGGTCCTGGAGAGGGCACTGGCAATATTTAACTTCTGGTCAAACCCCCTGATCGTTGTATCTACGGCCCAAAAACGTGGCAGACGACCATCGGAGATCACAGGGAGACGTTTCTGAGCAAGGGAAAAGGCATGTGCGGCTCTTCTGGTGCCTGGACGTCGAAGCAAAGTTGCATCAAGCCGCTTTTCTCCACCACCTTTAGCTGTCGCCGGACCGTGGGCTAGCCTGCCAACATCACCTCTCTTTGGCTATTGTTCTCATCCCGCTTCCGCTCGTGGAATATCGCCTTTCTCCGGCTCTGCGGCTGAGAATGCGCTAGCTGACTGTCTAGGTAGCAGTATACTACCATCATTGAGGTATGTTGTAATGCTCATGCTATCTCACCATTCGAGATCTGTCGAGCAAATGTAGTCACAACAGGTCGGCATGTGTCATCTTTGTTCAGCTCGCCCTCGAGCGCAGGAGCATTGTCGTTTACCCTAGACGAGCTCGTTTCGATGGTTCGAGACTCAGGTGTGGTTCGCGGCGGATTCCCTCTGAAACTGTCGGTATTGATTGAGCACAGCCCCCGCCATTCTGATGCCTTTGACCTCGAATGTGTACTGAAAAATCGGTTCGATGATCCTGCGCTGTTCGGCGGTTGCAAATGGAGATTCCATGGCAACTAGGAAAGGGGGACATTGGTGCAACCACATGTAATCATTGGACCCAACTCCGTCGATATCTTGCGGGCTGCAGATATAAGGCCCACTACCCACGATGATCTCGATTGCCTCTCGCGCTTTTTGTGCGATAACCTCGAATTCTGTCGTATCGATTGAGGGATCTTTGAGTCTCGCTTTTTCGAAAACTTTAGCGGCCACATTATATCCGAACAGACGCGTTCCCACCAGGCATAATCCGAGATTGGCGTATTCTCTGCTTTTCCATGTATATCCTTGGAATTGACCAGGCCAGACTATTTCGTTATTCGAAACAGGCTGCACATCGCACGGCTGCGGGTAGAAGTCTTCAATGGAGTGGCCCGATATCTCGGTGACTGAGAAGGCGTTTGATGCCATTTGGAGATACTCCTTAATGGTACTTGCCAAGTTCGGATCACTGTCGACCAAGTTGTCCACGACGGGGTCAGATGCAAAAACGCTCGGGACCGTTAGAAGGGAGTGTACCGGGCTTGAGGACATGGTTGCGACCAGGTATTCATCAAACATTTTGTGAATATAAGAAATGAGGCGGTTTTGCCGACTGCCGAGTGTCGCCGCCTGCGCCCTTTCGACGGAGGGATCGTCGACTATTTCCATGACTGACATTGCCCAATCGTAGGGGTATTGACCTTGCGGCTCGAGAAATCGTATCGCAGAGGATCTAAACTGCAGTTCACAATTTTAGCCACAGATAATTACGAGATCGTTTCCATCCCGTAGGATGCTTGAAAACAACTCACCAACTCGTGTCGAAGCAACATGAAAAGCTCTGCACCCAAGTCGTCGTGGAATTTCCTTTGACCTCTGGACTTCAGAATTGTCATTGCGCCGTATAAATGATTGTAATAGCCATTGACGTTGTCTCCAATCAGGCACTGCGTATCCGTCGTCAGTCACGCTCGGAGCAGCACAGATTATTCTTGGATCCTTCTTACCTCTACTAGTGCCAACACAATTACCGAGGCCAAAAGTTCGTCGTCGTATATCGATTTGGGATTTCCGATGGAGCCGTTGACCGCCTGGAGAGCGACCGAATAAGAGGCTTGCGTGTCGACCGTAGCTGATCTAGAAGCCGGCCGCCTAGAAAAGGCGGCGAGGGCCAACGTAGAAAGGCATGTTTCAAGACAGTTTCCTCTGTTCTGACGCCGGATAACTAAGTTTAGAACATCTAGGTACCCGGGATCCAAACTTTGCGGCGGGACATCCAAGTAACAGTTGATGAGGTATGCAAACGCCTGTTGCTCAGCCGGAGTCCTCGGAGGTGCTCGAATAGTTGCCGTCGCATCAAAATGGTTGATCAAGGAGCCATTCCATGTCGCCCCTAGAGCTGCAGGGTTGCCAATTTGTCCAGACGAACTATTTGCATGGTCTGGTTGCTCCTCGCCATCTGCACGAAAAGGCAAATCCCACGACCGAGAAACGTCCCCGTTCACATTGGTGCGTAACGTCAGCACCGATGGGGGGTAATTCTGATCAAAGAACTCAAAGTCGGTCGATTTGGGTATTGTCCTTTCGTACTCGAACCGGTTTATAGTCGTTGCTGTCATGTCACGAATCTTGATTCGCGCTGGATCCCGGTACCCCGGACACTCTCTACCGCCCTTTTTGCATCTCTGACAGTGAGGTTTCCCTTCATCGCACTATTCCAAGTCGGCTTCAGCGTTCTGGACACGGGTATATGTTGAGAGCTGTATACACACCTTTACCCGTCGCTTTAAGCAAGCCAGACAGCCTTTGGAAGGACCCGTGTACACCATAGTATTCCTTGTCGAGCCGAGCAGCAAATTGTCCGTTTCGCAAGATCATTGTGGGTGCCTCGCAAGCAACCCAGGAAAGTGTGGCACTGGTCCCGCTCTTCCTACGACTTCGGTAAAGGACAAGCAAGCTGAGCATGTATGGTTGGTTTGGTTCGGGTTCGTTTGGGACACCAATCTCGTGCCTTTACCAGCTCACTTCCGAAGGCTCATAATCATGGGGGTTTTTCTTCACCCTCGCTTGATCCGACGCCTGCCTTATTAGCCGACCTATGAACGTGGCGATCGACTGCTACTTCAAATTTGGGGGTGATATCGTGAGCCCATTCAACTGGGCCGGGATAACGATCCTAATTGGGCAACAACTAGAGGTGCATTGAAGATACGAGCTAGTCCTAGTGTCAGTGTCCGTATGCCTAGGTACTATGGCCTCTGATCAAGGACGCACGGAGTCTGGCGGCGTCAAAGGGCTCGGCTAGTCGGGCACTGGCGTTCGCTAGTCGCCGCATATGGTGCCTGTTTTTTTTTTCTCCCTCTCTCTTCAACTGAGGCACTGCACTATTATGACCTGACTAGAACTTTCGGCAATCAACCGAAAATCCTCGGCATCGTGTCCACAAATCGTCGCCCAAGGCTAGGGGTCTAGGCTGCTCGATGGATTACTACTACAGTCCTACCACCAGACAGACAAGCCAGCTAAAGACCTTGCTATGTGTGACCGGGTTTTTCTGACGTAGCGAACATGTACGCGAGCTACAGTACCTACCGTACTTACATGCAGGTGGGTTCGGTCATACATGGTTGGTACGGTGTGGGCTCGTGAGGAGGAGTGACGAAAGATTATGCTGACCTGTATGCCCCCCCAGGCTTGCCCAGTGCACCAGTTTTCATAACGCGGTGATCGCCCACTGCATTAGTCCCGGATAGAAACATGCTAGCAGCTTGGGAACGGATAATGCTGTCTCGGGCATCTCCCTCCCACTCGGCCGAACAGACAAAACAGACTCTTTTTGTTGTTATCTCATCGCTCATGAGCATGAGCTAGAGTTTCGAAAGTGGAATGTCTCGAAAACCAGTACCGAGGCTGCCAAACGCTTCTGTTGGGTCCAATCGCAACCTGGTCTTGACCAGGGGACGACGACTCACTTCTATATCACATACATACACACCATGCACTAATGACCTGGCCAATGCCCCGGACCGCACACGGGAGGAGAGGAAGGGGAAAAAAGAAAAGAAAAAATTTGAAAGCTACAAACTGCAGTACGTTGCGGCCGCGTGTCAAGTTGAATACTCGTAACGCTATGACTCATCAGACTGCACCCTTTGCTTGTGTACAGCTGGAGTTATATGATCTACGGCTTATTGGTTGGCGTTACCAGGTACTATATTTTTTTCTTCCCCTCCCCTTCCCTCCTCCGTACCGGATCTCTCCCCCGGGGGGATATTACGGGTCGAAACTGGAAACAGGTGCCTACAGGCTCTACACTAGGTATGGGACGTTTCACTTTTGACAGCCAGGCTTTTAACTTTCAGTCTTCAGGCTTGGTCTTCAGGCCAGTTCCTAGGGCATGCTTGCGGGGGACTTCGATCCGAGCTGCAATGCACAAGCGCTCCAATGCCTGCCTGATCTCGACTCGACGGAACAGGACGGGCTGCGCAGTAGTAGTAGTGGTGGTCGGAACGTACGTTGTTGGACTTGCATCGAAAACCTAACAGCCAAAGCGCTACAATATTCGGTGATTACATTTACAACAAAATCGGTTGCTTATTAGTTCCACCGATCATACAGCTGGTGTGATGCAAGGAAGACGAGGACAAGTCAAACCAACCATTTCTTTCATTTCCAAAGGAGGAGTTTTGTGGTTCTCAGAGATATTGCACCATGTCTATCCTGCATAAGCGGCAATGTCGGCCTTAGCTGTCACATGGAAATGAGGAAGAAAATGTCGCAGGCCCGGCGTCCAGCGTTCGTGGACCGTCGATCTACTGTGTATGGGCGGCATGCAAGACATGGATGTCTTTTGGCAACCGAAGCGAAAACACTAGGGACGTCCCCCTGTTTATTCTTACGTTTACTAGACAGTACCTCGAGTACCTACACACAGGCAACAATGGCCATCAACACCCAAATCCGAGCGTTCGTTGGCAAGCCGTCGCCGGTTACAGGCCTTGGCGATATTGGCTTGTTTTGCTGATCAAGGCATTCTGGGCTGATGATGGCGATGATCGCAAAGTGATCACAAAACAAGTTAAAAGGTAATGAATCACTAATTTGTGCTGATTAGGACGGGATGTAGGCGAAAAGTTTATCGTACATGGAAGCGCTAGAAGCTCAATGGTGAGTGAGTGAGTGAGTGAGTGTTTATTAGGTATGCAACCTACCAACCAACCAACCTTGTACGTGTAGACAGACGGCATGCATGTTCGTATGTACCAAGGGTCCTTAAAACTTATCTAGTACTACTATTACTACTATTCAAAATTCCCATCGACAGCCAAGCGAAAATAGGGGATCGGCTGTCGCTAAGTCGTGTGCCCTCTTTTTCTCCTCGTCCAAGTCCCAGTACTAACATCGACCGATTTTCATCCTAACTTTCCAACGTCCAATGGCGCTCTTACGGAAGCGAGCTCACTAGCGGTCGGCACTCGCACACGGAAACGACTAAGGTTGGGCCACTTTTCTTCTAGACGAACTTTATAAACAGAAATCAGAGATTTCTCTATTTTTTTTTTTTAATTTAATTTTGGAATGTTGGTATCCTGTAGCAAAGGGAAGACGAGTCAGCAAAGCCGCCAGGAACGGACACTACTCTCACAAGCACCCGCCTACGCAGTAGAAGCGCCCGAAAGGATCAAACATCTGATCCCTCAATTCTGAAGATGCCGGAGCCCTCGCCATGTAGTCACTATCTGGTATCAGGTAAACCAAACAATGATGATGATGGTAAGCCCACAGGGCCACAGAGGGGGGTTTTGTTTGGTAGCACGTAGATCAATAGTCTGTGAAAATCTGACAATGGCCTCGGTATTTCCACTGTCACTCAGCCTTAAAAGAGGACACAGATGCGCACATGGCCAGAGAAATAGAATTTGCAAATACCGAAAGGGGTCCCTTCTTTATTGCAGTATGCATGACATTAGCTTCTATAGGAAGCCGTTTTGTGGCGGCATCCATGTCTGGGCTCTTGGTGATATGATGATCATCCGCTTTGACAGCCGCGCGGATAAAACTTGTACTAGGTAATAAGGTGAACGATTCGGAAAAGCAAAAGAGATTGGTGACATGGATGTATGCATCCAGCGTAGCGGTCATCGATCCCGAGGGGACCCCGAGAAAAACAGAGGCTTATTGGGTTTGGGTGGTACCTTGTACTCTCTCTCTCTCTCTCTGTGTCGACTCCCCGTCCTTCCCATACTCCTAGGACTATAGTACAGATTAGTGTAGTAGCACGTCGGGCCCATCGGCTTTCGAGCCGATCGAGATTTTTGGTTCCTGTCATCAAAACACCGGTGTAAGTAAGTAGTGTAAGCAGTACCATCTAGTAGGTATGGGAAAGTAGAAGCGCCCCTTTGACCCAAGAGTGAGTACATAGTCAAGAAAAGAGAAGGAGGGAAAAAAAAAAAGGTCAAATCTGCCGTTGGTGCGAGGCCCCCCGAAATCTCTAATGAAAACGGCGGTCACGTTACCACGTCCGTGACACGCTATAGTCGCTATTTTCTACTCGCGCCAAGCAACCGTTGGACATTCCAACATACGCCAACGCGAACCTAATGCAAAGAGTCGAATGATGAACTACACTTGTTTTTTTCCCCTTCTCTATCTCTTTCCTCTTCTCCATAGGAGCGCCTATATGGTACATAGGGGAAGGGGAAGGAGGTGAGGGGGGAGGTTCATCTTTTTTTTTTCTTGCCAGTCGTTCTAGAAGGATTAGAGAAACGCCGCAAAAATCTTGTTTTAATGCAGAGAAGCAATTAGGCGCTGATCATTTTTCTTTGGTCCTAGTAATTCCCGTCTCCATTTATTCTTCATGCAAGACTTCGGGGCTTCAAAATGGGGGAGGGGAACCAAGTAAGTCACCAAGGGGGGAAGAGAGAGAGAGAGACCACATAACCACAAAAACTCGCGTCTCTGTATAGAAAATGGTATGGTGTCCGTTGTGGGCGGCGCACGAACTGCAGACGACGCTTATCCTATTTCCTTCTTGCACCTCGGATTCAACAACTGTGCGTGCGTAGTTTCTTGTACTTGATGTTTCCGAGGCGAAGAAAAAAGGCTGATCGTGTCTGTCTTTGACCCCCCCGGTTGAGCTACCTGAGGGCACGGCCATCAAGGCCATGTTTAGCTCTCATCGGCTGTGGCTAGTTCCAATAAAATTTCTCTTCTTCTTCTTCTTCAATGGTATATACAAGAGGTACGTACTCTTTTTCATTTTGTCTCTCTCGATTGCAGGTAAAAAAAAAAAAAAAAAAAAAAAGAATACAGAGATTGGTCAAGTGCGCAGGGACATGGCCGTTCGGCACGGAGCGAACAAAGTCGATCATCATGAAACCAATCTACTCTCATTCGCTTGGACTGCCCGGATTGACCCTCCAAGTCTTTTGCTTGCCGCAGAATGCGGGTATACCAATGACTCGTGACTTGATATCACGAGCTCTGTGAGTACGCATGTCTTGTATCTTTGTTCGACTACATCCACATGTCGTTGCGTTTTCTCTTAAACCCGGATTGCTCCGTAAGATGGCGATGGGGCATTTGTTACAAGTCTTTCTACTTGGGGTTCTCCGAAAGGATGAAATCATCATGTTACAGCATTGAAATGCGCCTATCCCCGTTCCCTATGGCCATGACCTGCCTCTGCTACTTCAGTCTCTATTATAGTCACGACAAGCACTCATTTCCAAACCACATCTGGGTATTGAATATTGCCACTTTGACGCTAGATAATAATATTACTCCGCATTTTCTAAATCCGATCCGATTTCTCAAGCAACTATAATGAGATTCGTCCCTCCCTAGACTTTCTAGTCCAGTGCTCCAGGCTGATTAGGTAGGCTGGGCAACTGGGCTAGGAAACGTAAGTATCAGGCGATTTTGTCCTTGACAAAGCACTTGAGAATCCACTGGATGGGCGATTTTACCTCTTAGTTCCAACGTCGAAATGTGTACACAGTATGCCGCCAACAATTCCCCTTTCCCCCTTCTCCCTCTCTCTCCCTTCTTTCTCTGTCTAAAACGTTGGACTTGCCACAATCCATTCTATAATCAGCAAGGTGAGCGCCCCCCTAAGGCCTCCTTTGGCCGGCCGAGAGCGGGCACAGACCTGGAATTCTCTCGGGGCCGGTGTTTACTGCTTAGCAAGATATATATTTTTGGATTTTCATGTCCCCGTTCAGTACTCTCTGTATTATCCCCACAGGAGCCCGTCAGAGATTGTTTCGTGCATTGTACTATTGATCCAGTTTGAACGGGAATTCAGGCCCCCGAAGAGACAAGAGAGGCTATGATCACAGAACAGACCCTTCGGGCGTTGGGCAAGAGTAAAGAGATCGTGATCTGGTTCATGGATCTTGTGCTAGTTAATTCAGTAGCGGCCTACAACCACCCCTGCTCGTCATACGTTACCGCGAGGCAAATAAAAAATCATTATCCACACACAAGCCAGCAAGGAGCAGCAGCAGCATCGGCAGGGCAATGAGACAGGTACGTACGAAGTACGGTACTGGTAAGGCAGACACCCAACCAGACCGCTCTGACAAGGCTCCTCCTCCTCCTCTTCGGAAGCACGAATACAGCTGTCGATCTTTCAGCCCTAGCACACGAAGAATTGGTTCGCCCACTGTTGGCGGGCTGGGTCGAGTCAAGTAGGCTGAATGGGCAGCTCTCTTTTGTTTTCTCTTTTTTGCTTCACCGCAGCCCACTTTGTTTGGCCCGTTTTCGTTCTTGTCTGGGCAGGCGACATGCAGGATGTGCGTCTTAGTACTATGCTGAGGTCAGCCACCCACGTTGGAACTATTGTAGACGTGACCCAGCCGGGCTGCCTTGTACAAAGTTAATTGTTGGGCATGATGGAACATGAAAGATGATACGTGTAAACGGGACGTGGTAGCACTTTTTGACTCGTGACCCCCATGTTATGTGATGGCGCTACGGACAAGGTACGAAAAACAATAACACTACAAGTATATCTCTCTCTCTTTTTTTTTTTAAGGTTTCGGCGAGATATCAATGACCTGGTTCCAAAGTCCCACTCACAGTCTACATAGTATACTGTGTAGTCTGTTCCCAGCATTGATTTGGAAATTAGAAGGTTTGCTTCTGATTGAGCGCTCGACCTGTAGGCGATGATCCAGTTTGTCCCAAGATGATGACACCAAAGGGCACGGTTTCTGCCTATTCAACAATCCGCTTATCTGCTCGCTTGCAGATTGTTGATTTGGATTCTTTCTCCTTTTGTATTGCCCTGCAGTATTGAAACCCCCTCCTAGGACCCCATGGCAGGATGACAGCCCCTGAGAGAGAAAGACAAGTCCCTCCCCCCCGCAACTTGTTGGGTTACATTAGTCTAGAATGTGCGTAGCGGGAGAAGTTTGACAATTGGGCGAAGCGGACTGTCATCTTCCAGGTGTAAGGATTCATTCGCCTTGACCCTTACACCTCTAGTAGAGGCCCTGCCACTTGTCTTGTCTCCCAAGGGCCGCTGTAGACTGCATAGGCCCTCTAGTTAGGCAACGGCAAGGCCACTTGGATCCTTTTTGATCTCCTTCCACTACGCCCACCCAGGCTGCGCTTTATTTGCTTTGTCACTGTTCCACAAAATAACTGGCACTCCCTCGGCTAGTCAATGTCAGGGTTTAGGCAATGGGGGGGAGACGCGAGTACCGAAACCTTGGACTATTATGTACGTAGCAACTACGGGTAGCAGCAAGTAGTTTGAGAATGTCTATTTTGTCACAGGTGAGGTCAAGGCAGAGAGTGAGTCCGGCCGAAGTCATCTCAAGGTGGGCAAGATCTCTTCCCCTCTCGCCGCACTCCCATGATTTGAAGTGCCCTTTCAGCGCCGAGACACGGACAAGTCCGCAAAAAAGAACAACAGCTGCGTAAGTTTCTTGGTTTCGCGATGGCTGCAGCTAGTCGCATTCGAAACATTAGAAAGAGAAAGAGAGAGAGAGGCCCAATGACTGCATGTAACCTTGGCAGCACTACTACTGACTACCCAGTCCATCCGCAAACCAGAAGGCAGATCCCGAGAAGGTACAATCCCCCAAAGGGCCTCCCAGGGGGGGTCTGAGCGCGCAGAAAGATGCGTAGGTATATCGAGGAGGGGGGACTGGACAGTATTTCGAGACACAACAGTAAGCTGATGGTCAAAAGAGGCCGAGAGCATGAGCGAGCGGAGCGCCGTTTGCCTGTCGTTTTCGTTTGAGAGGGAGGGGATGCTCCGCCAAGTATTCTAAACTACACTGTCTCTCTTCTTTTGCTCCTCTTTCACGGCCAAGATGAGTAAGGTAGATCTCCCATCATCGTCATCACGGGCTTTTTTGGACCATCGCCCAAGGGAAGTACGGTGAGGCAAAGCCATTCATATCACATTTTTACCTCCCTGCTGAAATAGTCACATGGGCGAAAAGCACCTCTGAAGATCTGCGTGCTGTGCTTTTACTTGCCTTACCTTGGCTGTGCCTAGTCACCACTGCCGAACCAATTGGCAGAGGAGCTCACGAATATTGACTTTTCTATACAATGCAAAAATGTGAAAACCTGCAGATGCCTATGGAGTTGTTCTTGCCGCCGTGTCAAATGTGATCACCATTTGGAATGTTTTTCTTGTCGTTTCTCCCCGGATCCCTGTTCTCAGGAGCACCTGAACGAAGCGGCGGCAGTCAACTATCGACGGGGGCTAGAACATGGACAACGGGCGAGAACACACTCTGTACTTTAAAAACATCCAAATACGGTCTGTTGATCTGAGTCTGTGGTTTTCACATGTATGGCGCCTCGGTATCTTGATGATCTGATATCATCTCGTCCAGAATCATGATGTGAGGCGGCCGCTGAAGTAGACGCTATACCCACGCCTCCTGGTAGGTGCTCGACAGCAAGGCAGAAACACTGGGAGCTTTTAAGCAGGGCTGTCCTCATAGTTATGAGCGACTATTGGGGGTCTGAGGATGGGCTATCGAAAATCCTCAGAGACCATATGTGGAACGTCTTTCAATGCAGGCGTTGTGTCCATCACTGCGATACAAGGGACGGGTTGAACTCGAGGTCACTCCATGACGTGGCAGGTATTTTGACATTTCAAAGCAAAGTAGAAGGCCACATTTTGCCGCAAGTGACGTTTTCCTGGGTCTGCAACATCTCTCTCTCTCGCTCGTTGATGCTGTCAGTGCCGCCTTACAATATTGTTCGCGTGGCCTCAGGGCGCAATGTCACTAACTTTGTGGAACATATCAATCTGCTAGGCGATATATTGAATTCATTTTCTGAGTTTCCATAGCGTTGGCCAGCTAAAGGCATTGATACCCCTCTTTACTACCATGAGTGTTCTCAGAGCAACAGCATTTGAGTTGGCACACTCACAAGTCGGGTATTCGAAGTCATCAGTAAGATGATCGATAGACGAACTGCTGGTATGGTGGATAGGCTTTCAACTCACCATTGAATGGAAATCAAATGGTATCCAGCAACAAGAAGGCAGCTGGAGTAGAAGCCAAAGGCCCGGTGACTGGCCAGGGGTTATAATTTAAAGATCCTGAAGCTATCACAGCAAACTGCTTCATTAGCCATATGATGATGGGTCGTGAAACAATTCAGTAATGTCTGTTGTTTGGTCGACATTGCGCGATCCCATCACATTTCAATGTCTTGGGGATTTTCTTGCTCTTTCCCTATAATCTATTTCCAATTGTTCTTTGAATGTGGATTGGAAATGGATAATTGCAGTCACTACTAAATAAATCAAGTTACAAGAGTACTGGTAGCGCCAGAGTAATAAATAACAAAGACGAAAAAAAAAAAAAAACAAAAAAAAAAAAACACCATGGTGAAATTAGCATATGATTCATCACGGGAAGAAGAAGCACAGATCTATTCCATGGAGAAATTGATGAGGTTATTCACAAAAAATTGCACAAGATGTTTATGCACAAAGCCGGATTTGGCTGCTTGGCTCCCGTCCCGGACACGGCCCCACATTAAATTCGTTAATTGGCACACACGCAGCTGCCAGCCAAGTCAGTCGACGCGGACCCATGCCATCATAGCGGCGCGCCGGGTCATTGAAGAAAAAAAAAGTTTCGATACTGGCTGGCTTCTCAACCATCGAATGGAGGACCCCTAGATTCTTCTTGCGAATACTAATCATCGAGCTCGAGATTGCCATTTCCATTCGATTTTCACCGGTCGCCGACTACTGAGACGCACAACAGTCTTTTTTTATTTATTGCTAGACCCGCACCGCAAGAAAGAAGCCCTTCTCACAAGACACAAGATACCCGACCAAGCCCTTCACTGCGACATACACGTATGGGCTGCAGATAAGACAACAAACACCGAGCTTTGATAAACACCTTGTCTTGCGACTGCGACTTATCTGGCTGGTCTGGACGGTTCAGTCCCCCCAGAAGTTCTCAAGATGGCGTCCTCCAATGAGCACCGCGAAGGTCTCTCGATAGCATCGAAGCAAGACCCATTGCCACAATCCCGCGAGCTTGGTGCTGTCATGCCAGCGCCGACAGCCAAGGCATCACCATTCGCAAAATCATGGCCACACTTGGTAGCAGGAGGGTATGTGCTGAGTTTTATTCCCTTGCTTGGATATCCAATCCCCTTTGAGAATCCATTGATTATTGGTCGCATTCAAGACAGCCAGTGCTAACCATTCGGGTCACCAACAGCATCGGAGGCACAACGGCAGCCGTCCTGACCGCCCCTCTCGACGTTCTCAAGACTCGTCTCCAATCCGATTTTTACCAGGCGCAGCTGCGCGCCACGCGCGAGGCCCTGGGCCACCAACGGCTCGGACCCTTGCGCTCCATCACCTACCACACGGCTGAGACGGTGCAGATCCTGCGCGACGTGCACCGGCTCGAGGGCACGCGGGCGCTCTTCAAGGGCCTGGGACCGAATCTAGTGGGCGTGGTACCGGCGCGCGCCATCAACTTTTACGTCTACGGCACGGGCAAGCGGGCCTACTCGGCGTGGACGGGCCTCGACGCCACCAACCCCGTGGTGCACTTGACGAGCGCCGTGACGGCGGGCATCGTGACGGGCACGGCGACCAACCCCATCTGGCTGGTCAAGACGCGGTTGCAGCTCGACAAGAATAACGCCGAGCGCCGCGGCGATGTCTCGACCCGCCGCTATCGCAACAGCTGGGACTGTATCCGTCAGGTCATGCGCAATGAAGGACCTACGGGCTTCTTCAAGGGCCTCAGTGCCAGCTACCTTGGTGTCTCTGAGAGTACGCTGCAGTGGGTACTGTACGAGGAGATCAAGTCCAAGCTCAAGCTACGCGAGGAGAGGCTGGTCCAGAGTGGTCGCGAGAGGACGTGGTGGGATCACACGGTCGCGTGGACGGGCAACTTTATGGGAGCTGGTGCCGCCAAGGGATTGGCTTCGGTTTTGACATATCCCCATGAGGTGAGTTTCGTCATGTCCCTTTGTGGCTGAAGTTAGAATGGAGCAGTATGGCTGACATGGCATTTCTTAAAAATAGGTCGCAAGAACACGATTAAGACAAGCACCAATGGCCGACGGCAAGCCAAAGTACTCTGGCCTCGTCCACTGCTTCAAGTTGGTCTGGAAGGAAGAGGGCTTCATTGGCCTGTACGGTGGCCTGACTCCTCACCTCATGAGAACCATTCCCTCGGCCGCCATCATGTTTGGCATGTACGAGGGCATCCTAAAGCTTTTCAACACAAAGGCCTAAGTGTCTTGGAATCGATCGATGACAACCACTATCTACCAAACACATTTTGTCGATCCTGGCATCATTGGACATTTTCTTCCATCAGCTAAGAAAGATCACACGGCATTCCTCCCTGTACTATATCTCGACTTTTCCACCCAAACAGCAAGCACATTCCCTTTACGCATCGAGAGGCCGATCTCGTTTAGCGTTTCCTTGGGGACATTTGTTTCTTCTCAGCATATAAACTCCCGTCTCTCTCCCCCATTTTGTACTACAACAAAACTACATTTGTATCAACACAGGCGCATGGCAATAGATAAAAAGAGACGGGGGGGACGACACGGATGGTCATGAAACTACTCAACTTCTAATCTTGGCATACAACGGCGTTTTGAGGGGTCAACGGCAGCAGCAAAAAAGAATCACATTCAAGGGGACCAGGCATCATTTCTTGGGAGTGAGCATATTGCAGTACAGCTCTCCCTTCGGTCTTATGTAGGAGTATGACACGCGATGGGGGTATATAGTGCATCTCTACACTCCACGCAATCTAAAGTCACGCTCGAGCTAGTCCCGAGGCTGGACTGGACTCATAGCGGACAGCTCACGAGCAGTGTATATTTTGTGTACACAATAGAGCAAGAAGAAGAAGAAAATTCAATTGAACATGGCTATGACGCCGGAAAACAAAAAGGACACGAGAATACCATGCATCGAAAAGCACAAAAGACAGCCTAGGAGAGAATCGCTGTCCCTCTTTGGTTTCGTGACCCATCATCCATCATTATCAGGCCCCTTTTCCCCATCTTGACCAGTCAATAGCAAACCAGGACCACCTGTCTGTTGTCGTTGTTCATTCATGTTGGCTCATACAGTAGACACGCTCTCCCAGTCTCCCTTGGTGGTCTGCATACCACTCAGCTGGGCTGCCGGCGAGTGCGATCTCGGGGGTTTCTTGCGCAGCTTTCGTGTTGCGCGGCCGCTGGTGGACCATGAGTCGAATAAGCGCAGTCACCAAGCGTTACGATCCCAGTTTGGGTCTATCCACAGAGATACAAAACCGTTAGTCATCTGGAAAGTAGGCGTTTTCCCTCCTCAAACCCCCAACCCCTTCTTCAATATTGGGAAATGTGTGGAAAACTCACCCTGAACAAAAGCAGCCAGGACCTTGCTGCCCGTCTGCAAGAGGGGATGTCCCACGACAATCTTGAGGAACTTTTCCAGACCCTGGCGGCGGTTCTCAATCACGTCGTCGCTGAAGCGGTTGGTAAAGACCTTGCCGGGCAGGGGCGGGATGGTGACGCGGGCGCTCTCGCGCTCGAGTATGTCGCGAAAGTACTCAAAGTCGCTGTAGCGGCGGCGCACCGTCGATTGCCGCAGCTTGAACGAGGGGATGTTGGTCCGGCAGAGGATCTCATAGTCCGTATACATGTTGCGGCCCATGCCGTGGGTTCGCGGGTTGCGCACCTAAGAAGAGCGCGGTCTTGTTAGCATTGTGTTTTTTTTTTCCTTCTCTTCTCCTCCTTTGTATGCTTGAATTTTTTTTTTTTCGCGCGGCGCATTGAGTGGCATGACCGCCATGTCCTGATAGACACCTCCCATGTATTCCCTAAATCTCGGCCTCGTTTTCGTTTTTCTTGTTTGACAAGTAATCTCTGGGACCGCGTGCTTGCGCTTTGGGGGTGCATGGATGTATATCTTACCTCGATCTCGAGAAAGTTCTCGGGCGGGCCGTAGATCTCCTCAAACGACTGCTGCCGTGTGTCGGGCATAGACTGGATAATGGGTCGCGACATGCTGGCCATACCCCGCGGCGATGCCGGCGACTGTGGTGTTTGTTGTGAAGTCATGGTGGCGCAAAGGAAAGAAAGGAAAGAAAAAAAACAAGGAGGAGAGGTCGGAGAGGTGATGCCCGTTTTCGCGCGGTTGGCGGCGCCGTGAATTGCTATCGGAGGATGGTGGGGTTCTCGACCGGGTGGGTTTGGAGGGGCTTTGAGTCGGCGCTGATGACAGGAGTTGTGGCTGAATTTTTGGGTTCCTGGCTCTTGTCGCCTGGTATATTATTTGTCGCGTACAGATCCTCTTTTTCTGTCTCTGGTCGCGTGAGAGGTCTCAACTGGGATTGTTTTGTGTTGCTGGAGGGGGACCCTTGGAACTTTATGAGTGATGGATGAGAGCTTTTGGGCGGTGGTCTGTCTCTGCTTGTTCGGTTGCGCAAGAAGTGGGTTAAACTATTTGTTTGGCCCCGTCCAGAGCCAGATTGATTACACTAGAGGTACCTACGGAATACCTAGTACGTAACTAGGTTTGTACGTACGCATAAGAGTTAAAAGATGCAAGTCCCCGCGAAAAGTTGGTTGACACTGAGGGGAAGAATAGGATGGATCGCTAAGAAATATTGACAAAAGTCGACATTATTCATTTAGAAAGGTTAGATCGTCACGATTCATGCATATCAGGGGACTTCTTTCGGTCTCCTCACAAACGTTTATACACGCTTCACTTTTTGTCTCGATTGCTTCGTACGAGAGTTATTCACTCTCAAAAACATTCATTCACTTCACACATTCAAATCAATGAATAATGGAACTCAGTGAAAGCAAATCTATTACTGATTGCTGTGGCCAAATTCTGCCAAATGCTTCCCAATCCAGGGGCCGGGGACCGCCGATAGCTATGCAAAGATGCGTACCAGACTGTTCTTCTCCCAAAGACGACACTCCTTTCCTCTTGAACAAGCTCGCAAACCATGGAAAAACAAGGCATTTCCCCCCTTTCCGCCTAAAGAAACCGCAAATTCATAGAGAGCATCGTAGGTCAGAGACTTACGGGAGCAAGCGTCATGCTGCTAGCTCGCTCTTCTTTCCTCACCCCGGTAACCACGCGTCAACAATCTCATGCATGGAATACCCGTCCATCATCCTCCTCCTCCTCCTCCTCCTCTTATCCTTCTCTTTCTCTCATCCTTCTCCTGGTCTCGTCCATCCTCTGTCCAATCTATTGTCGTCCATGTTTTCGTCCATTTCCCACCACTGCGAATCCAAAGCTGTCTCGTAACAGCTGATATCCATCAGAGCCTTGCTACTCTGTCTTGTGCTCCTCATCATTGCTGTGCAGGCCCAGATTTCCCGTTTCGTGTACTTGGGTACTATCCGGCCTCACACTCAACGTTGCAATGTTGCCAACCCCAAAGTCGTTCTGAATGACCAAAGTGTCATCAGAAGACAGTGAAAGCCGAAAGTCGAAAGAAGGTGTATCGTAAAAGAAAAAGTGAAAAGAAGTAATGCCAGCGCGAAATTAGTGAAGAGAAAGTGTGTGCGAACCAGTTCTCCTCAGTACATGCCAAAGTGGGCAATATCAGGCATCGCAATGACGGCGAGGCAAAGACAAAAAGGCAACAAGATTGTGATGCCTTGTCAAATGAAAAACAGGCCGGTAAGATCGCAACGAAAACAAAGAAAAAAAGAACATGGCAATCTCTCCGAAAGAATAGTCGGTGATTTGTCGTTGTCTGCTGATTGCCACCATGTTTGCACATGTGTGTGTGTAAGACTTGGTCGACTGACGTGCAAACAAGATCGTCGATAGGTTTGACGCCCTTTCAGTCAACAACAGCGTGCGACTGATAGACAGACACGATGCAGGATGAACCCAAATCTTACTCCATCAGCAAATTGGTAATCTGACGACTGCTATAACCATTGTGCGGACTATAGTTGTGGCAGGCATCAATGCCACTGGAGAAGCTGTTGCCATTCTGCTGGGCATTCTGCAGAAAGCGGCGAATGATGCGATCCATGGCGCCCCATTCGAGATTGGCGGCGTGATGCAGCGTCATTTCGTCAAAGGCGGGACCCGTGGGATAGTTGATCTCGCGCCAAAAGTAACCGAAATAGGGGTCGGTCTGCTCGGCGAGCTCGGCGAGCTGGACCTTGACATTGATGGGTTCGTTCTGAACGGCTCGAGTGCTCTCAACGCGCAAGACATGAATGTAGAACTGTTGCCATGGTCGTATTAGTGAGTGATTCTTTGATCATGGACGTGAAAAACAAGACGATGGGGGTTCGAAAGACTTACTTCAAGCAGGTCCAAGGGCGTGCCCGGCTTGGGACTAAGTGAATACAAATGAGTCCAAGACTCGGCCCAGCGCGGCAGGTTGTAGCGGCGCTTGTCGGCCTCCTCCATGCCCACTATGAGAGCCATGCTATCTTTCTGAACAATGGTGAAGCCCGGGCACTTCATGATTGCATCGATGAAGCGCTGCCAAAGCTGTTCCGTAAGCCGCTCAAAGCCAGGGCGGCGGGGAGCATACGGATAGAAATGAGACGTCAACTCATCGAGCAAGGTGCACATGAGGTTCTGGCAGGACTCAAATATGTAATGCTGCTGGTGGATGGTGATGAACTTGGTCATGTACCATGGCATCTTCTTCAGAGTCGAGATCATGGCCTCGATGAAGCGCTCCGGGCAGTCGCGCGAAAACGGAGTCTGGTGGGTACGCTTATTAGTACACTGACCCCGATATAGATGTTTTTGGATCAAAACTTACACGTCCGTAACATTCAAAGTGTCGACTGAGCTGCAGGTTCTCCTCCTCGCTGGTGAAGCATTTGAAGTTGTCAATGGGATAAGGAGAATCCGTGCGAATCATTGGGTGCGATCCCTGCCAGGTGACACCATGAGCCACAGGGAAAATGTCGCTCATCAAGGCAGCCTGGTTGGAGAACTCGACCTTGACGATACGACTGCCAATACGAGGAGGTCGGTTATGGGCAATGTTCTCCTGGATACGTTCCAGGGCCCTGAGAGCATCGGCCGGGGTCTCAAACTCGGCATAAGCATCGAGCGTCTTGGCTGTAACCTTTTCGAGAATGATATGAATGGGCTCTTCGTTATCGTTCAAAAGACGCATGGCACGTCCAAAGATGGCAATGATTTCATTGCGGCTAACACTGAAGGGACACTGCACAAGTCATTAGTGGACGGTGGACAGGGGACAAAGAAGACTATTTATGTCTCTTGACTTACGTTTGTGATCTTGAGGACACCAGCCTCCTTGCGCTTGTTAGTATAGAGACTGCTGTTCTCGACAAAGGGGAACATGCGCGGCTCCAGCATAACGTTAGCTAGGGTCTGAGTGTCATAGCTGAGTAGCTCGTCGAGTGCCTCTGAGCGACCACCAACATCCTGCTGAGCGGGAGTCTGGACGGGAGCCTGAACGGCCATCTGAGGAGCCACAATCAACTGGCATTTTTGAGGGTGGCCCCGGGGTCTAGGAGTCACTTCTCGGTCGACCTCTGGTACAGACATGAGCGCTCTGGGTGCCACGCGAGATCGAGGGCCCACTGCTGTCTGAGTTCGACGGTGGTTCACAACATGGTTCTTGTTGCCGAAAGGACCATCATTGACATTCGACTGCATCTGTTGAGGAGCATTGTTCTGCAAGGCCATTTGAGAACGCTCAATATTACTCTGCAAGGCTTCATGCATACGCTGAATGTAATCAATCTGATCTTGAATGTTCTGAGCCATGTCGGCCGGGTTGGCATTGGCATCCCAGGCATCATTGTCGTAGGATTGTTCCTGATGACCATAAATGAAGCCCATGCCTCCCTGATAGACGGTGCCTTCGGTTGTGTCGGTGGTAGTCATGCTCAACTCGCCGATGGAGGGCTCGGTGCGGGATGAACGAAGAGTATTGCGATGCAGCACTGGCGGTACAGCTTGCTGAACCGTGGCAGGACCCCAGCGAGATTGAGCAACACCAGTACCAACAGTTTGAGGCTGAGTATGGGTGTCGCTGGTCGAGGCTTCGTTGATGAAACCATCTGTAAAAGTCTGGCTTCGAGAAAGATTTGCACCCATGCTCAGCTCGGACTCCCCGTCGAAAAACTCGGGCTTGGACTTGCGAATCATTTCCAACAGTTCGTTGGTACCAAGAGGCTTGTCAAGCGTGGTGGGCTGACCAGGAGTCTGGGGAGTCTTTAATCAGTTTCGGTACATTGATCGGGTCACGTAGATATAGGAAAATAAAAATACTTACCATTGTGTTGGTAGTGGTCTGGTCTGCCTGAGGATTGGATAGCAAGGCCTTGGGCTCGTTGTGGCTATTGGCAGGGACGACATTCTTGCCCTTGATATCCGCCGAAAGAGGGGATTTGGCTTTTTGGACAATGCGACTGATGATTGAGGCAGGTCGGAGGGGAGCGCCTCCAGTATCCGTATCACTGGAATCGGAATCCTCAGTGGTCTGCAATTTGTTGGCCTTGGTAGTCGTCTGTCCAAAGCGCGACATGGAGGAACTCGCAGAGGTAGACGAGTGGATTGGAGCACCGCCGCCCAAGTTGTTGTTCACGAAGGGTGTAGTAGGCTGGTTGGTGTTATTGCGAGGGCCTCGACCGCGCCAGGGAGCGTGGAGCTCACGCTTCCCGCGACCAGGAAACATGATGTTGCTTTGCTGTTTGTGTTACAGCGTCGATTGGACTGAACTGCAGAGATGCGTTGTTGTTAGCTTGCCAGTATGACAAGGCTGTGCTTGAATAGTGAATGTGATCGGCGATCTTGTGAGTCCAGAGAAGATTGGAATTGTAGTGTCGATTGGTTGAGAATGTGAATGCGGGATTGATGAGTTCAAGGGGAGTCAAAGGTCAAGTTGTGATAGAGGTTAAGGGATAAGCAGACTTGAGGAAAGTTGAAATGCAGAACAATGTGACAACTGTGAACTGGGTAAAAGGAAAGAAGACAGAGCTGGAAACAGCGTTACCAGTCTGATAGCGACTCTGACTATTTGCCAAATCGTTGAAAGAACACGAGCAGCGTCTCGACGTAGGGAAAGAACACAATATAGTTAGGTAGAGAACGTCCACGAAGAAAATAAGCGTAAATCAAGTGTTTACGACCAAGTCGCAAAAACGTCCATGTAGAAGTTGAACCAGGCAGTGTACATGGGATCGCGAGGCCTAAAAGTCTGCATAGGATCACCAAATTCCGGTATCTGGTGATGCTGAAGTGAAGTATGGGCAGTGTGAGGATGATTGAGGTTTATTCTATGACCCAAGAAAGAGTCGATGATTCAACAATAAATCATATATGGCTTTATGATTCAAGTCCAAACCAAGAACGATTGGATTAAATGATTGGGGGATAAACGTGAAACCATGACAAATGGTGCGCACTATTGACAATTCGCCCAAGAGGCAAGAATGACGATAGGAGCAGGCGCTCACGGGTTCATGGGTCGGTAGATGTGAAGCGACGAGAACGAAGAATTGAGGAAAAGACTCTTCGACTTACAGTGGCTTTATGCTGTCTAAGTAGTTCCGTTTCAAGGTCGACTTTCTGGGACACGGTAATTAGTATCGCGGATCAAGACTTATGTGAAAATGAAGTGATTGAATCAAAAGCAGATCGTAAAGATCCAGGCAAGTGTAATGATTAATGGATGTGTGATGGGAGGAAGAACCAAATCCCCAAGGTTCTCTGATGAAGACAGCTCGTGGTGAGTTGGTGGGGGACGGAGAGCTAGCTGGCTTGAAGGTCTCGACACTTGAACAATGGCGATCGGAGAAGGAGATTGTCGTGTGGGAGTGCAAAGGAAGACTGGGGGTTCTTTGCAAAGGCAAGCCCGCTGTCGGCGCAGATGTGAAGGGGATGTTTGACTGGTGACTCGTGAAATTGGGCAGGAACGGCGACAGCAGAAGTCTTCAACAGCGTTTTTTTGTCTTGTGTGATTGTTTTTACTTTGACAGAGACAAGTTATTGGCGACTTACCGTTTCTTGAAGTATCTTGGAAGTCGTAGGAGTTTGTTGCTTTTGGTTTCTTCGAGTTCTGATGGTGTAGAAGGATTAGAAATGGGTTGTTGGTGTTGACTGGAGAGTAGAAAGAGCTGTCCGACTGAAAAGAATTGAATGGTTCCAGTACAAATAGAGATCAGGGAAAGAGGTCGTCCACTGGAGGTGGGTTGGGAAGAGCGAGAAGGCAACCAAGCACGTTTGACGCGTTGTGAATAGGGGCAACTCCGAGCCCAGTCGCTTTGGGATGTATAGAACAGTAGGAAGTTAAGGTCACTTACTGGAGATTGTGGATGGCTGGTGCCTTGGAGATAGAAGAATCAGCGTGATGATAACTTCAGAAGTGTGCTTGGGGGAACTTGTGGCTAGACAATGGTGATTTATCTGGCCTGTGGTTGCTGTGGTCAACAAATAGCTGGTTGCTCGGCCAGACTTTGGAGTTGGGCCACGAAAAAGCTGACAGCCAGGCCAAGCAACAATAATCTTGTGGGAGAAATCTGCAAACGCGAGGGCAAGCTACAACAAGAGATTTTTCAGCACCATATTACTTGCTCCAGTCTGTCAATCGCGATGCCTGCCCCAGTTCTGTGCAGTAGAAACGGAAATCGTTTTTTGTCGTTGCAAGACTCAATATAAATCGTGGATAGTGTTGATAGTTAAGTCCATATTATAGATCTTGATGATAATCAGAATGAGAATTGTCATATTCAGAAATAGAGAATCAAGATCACATTGCTCAGGAGTTTACTAAGCCAAGTTAATGTGTATCTTTGCAAACACGCATCGTCAGCCTTTACATCAGCTCCTACAGTGACCAATTGCACCAGAGCAGGTTCAACCCTCTCTATCTTTACGGTATGGGATTACACAACAGTGTGGTATGGAATCATTTGGCTGTGGATGCATCGTGATACTGGCCTAGTTTTTTGCTAAATGGCCATGCAATTAGATGGAACCAATTCGAGAAATAGTAGAACTCAAGGCATTGCAAGTGACTTTGATAAAGAATTATGGAATCAACACAGCCGGTTGGCATAAGACGATTGGCCTACCGGTGGAAGGAAGATAGATCTGAATTGAGCGTATTATCAGCAACCACCTCCAAGGTCATCCGGCTTAGGTCGTCTGGCTCAGTGGTTAATTTTATTACTGGGAACGCTGGCTTTGTGAAAATGGCGAATCAATGTTTACCTGTTCTGTTATGATGCTTATCAGGACATCGTCCACGGTGTGCATGTTTCTTGGCTTACAGCTCGAGCATTGCTTTGGAAAGTAAACTGTTATTTTCCCCCCCTTCAAACACACATGGTGATATTATCATGTGTCTTTTCACGATACTGCGACCATCAATACTGCCGAGATGCTTGAAAGGATTATGACTCCAGAGCCAATGAGAGGTGCTCTCAGAGCTAGTCTTAGATTTGTATTGACACACAAGACACAGACGGTTTGCGTGAGTTACTATGATCATCAGTCTAGTCAATAATAATCTGGAGTCACCTATCCAGTTCGCACAAGCAAAAGTTCAACATACAATATGTCAACATGCTATTTGGACAATAGAGAGTAGCATGTCTGACTCTGATTTCCAGACTCCCACACGAGCAAGAGTAGCAATTACATGACCAATGGTGCATTTGACCAATAGTCCGCATGATGTAGTATAAAACACATGGAACTGAAACCAGGTGCCACTACATTAGTAAAAGGTCCATCCTTGCCGTACTATATCATCGAGGAGAAAGGCAACCCTCATTGGTTATTGGTTCAGGATATAGAATCGCCCGAATAGGCTGGGTTTGTATAACGACGAGTGCTTCGCGCAGAATGTTAGTAAGGCAGCTCTCGATATGGGCATATATCAGCTATAATTCGCCAAGTCTCACTCGTGTGCAATTTTGTGGTCCTCAGCATGAAGAATCGATTTATTTTTGTGTTCATGAAAGGGTCACCGAGCTTGCAATGGCAAATATCTACATCTTCCATGCAGATCGCCAATTCAATCGCAATGTCAATTTTTTTCATGTCATTCCGAACGCCGGATATTGTCAGCCTGCCTATGTTCTGCTCATAAAGTGTGCCCAACAAGTGTTTGTAGTAATTTAGTCGAACTACAGATGAATTAGCAATGCGCCACGGACAAGTGTTCACAGAAAACTTACAGGTGTCAGGAAAGACTCGGCCACGAATCTTGCTCTTGCGTTTAGCTGCAGATATGTTAGCAGCTGCCGAGATTGTTGTTGTTGTTGTTACCCGAGTCGGAAGGCTTACGAATAGTTTCATCTCGGAAATTTCCTTGTCGACCTCCTCCATGAACTGAATAATAAAGTCCACTAGCTTGTGCTTCAACATCTCCTCGGTATGGAAGTTGGTGATGAGGAAGGAGATGTCGTATCCCTGGAATCAGTCAGCCCTTGCCGCATTCCTCCAAAGCCAAAGTGTCTGGGCAGCAACATGCCTTGATGGGCTTCCTCCTGAGGATAAAGAATGCCTCTGCTCTTTGCGTCAAGAAACGGGTGAACTTGTGGACCAGGATGTTCTCAATTTCGTCTGCCTGCTTGATCTTGATGCTTATCCGCACACTGTTGACGCTGGGCTCGATGAGCACTCTCTCGTTTTCGTTTCGCGCGATAACCAGTGGGTTCAAGAGGACTTCGGGGGAGGTCTGAGCCTCAATCTCGGGGACATTGTGACGTTCCGATGTCTGCGATGCGAAGTTGCACAGGCAGAGAGCGGCCGTGAGACTGCTCCGCACGCACTGGAGGTAGGGGCGGAGGGATTGCGACTGGACGAGCAGAGTTAGCAGGTGCAAGTCGGCCGTCGACCGCGATGCAAGGCCCTTTGGATTGCTTACCATTGTTCGAGTGGATGTTCCCGTCAAGACGGCGAGGATTGGACTTCTCCTATCGTCTATCCCAAAGGTCTGGAGTGCAGGTAGGTTTAGGTACGTAGTCGACTACCTATACGGAGAACGTGGGGTGAAGCAGCCAGTAGCCCAGTCAATCAGTCAGTTGCAGCCCACTCGTGCTGGGCGCTGGGACAAGCGACGACGTCGATGGTGGGGCGGAAGCCCCTTAGGTGAGCACCCCTGTTGCTTGTTGCTCGCCATGTTGCTGGCCTGGGCTGGGGACTGGATAGTGGAGAGGCACCTACCAAACCACTAAGTGAGGCGTCGCTATTACTGTGTGTCTACTGAAGAGCTGAGCTTGTGCCACAGAAGACATGTTTGCGTACCAGGCAGCTTGTGGCTGACTTCTCAAGTAAAGAGCCCTTACGTAACCAATAACTAGCATACTGAAAAAGTAGGTAGCTGTTAATTGCATACCCGTCTCAAGAAGATCCCCCAATTGCCCGCCAACCCGCCTAAGCTGTCTGCCGACCTCCCCACCACGGACACCTTGAGGCCAATCATAACCCCACCCCGCCACTGCATCATTGCTTGGATGCATATGGAATCTGCTGGCTAAGGTAGAAGGTACCCCGGAGTCTACGTACGTTCAAGACTGCCTGCTTGCTCAGCAGTATCAAAACAATTTCTACATCCCTCCTTCTCCTCCACTCGAGACTCTTGTCCTCCGAGTCGCTAGCTTTCACCGACATCAGAACGAGAGGATTGCGCCAGCTCGTGGAGCGACCATAGTAAAGATGCCATCCGTACCGAGTAAGCCTTGAAACCATCCCTATCTTCCACAGCAAGCCACTTCCAATTGCTGACATTCCTCAAGTCGTGATCAAGCATTCCGGCCAGAAGTACAATGTTGAAGTCGACCTCGAATCCAACGGAGAGACCTTGAAGTATCAGCTCTACAGCTTGACCGGCGTCGAGCCTGCACGTCAGAAGGTGCTAGTAAAGGGTGGACCGTTGAAGGATGACGCCGACATGAGCAAGCTCGGCTTCAAGTCCGGCCAGACCATCATGATGATGGGCACGCCGGGCGAGGGCCCTCACGTTCTGGAGCGTCCCAAGCAGCCTGTCAAGTTCGCCGAGGACATGACTGACGCCGAGCTCGCCCAACAAGAGGGCGCCACGCCCGCTGGGCTTCAGAACCTTGGCAATACTTGCTATCTCAACTCCACCCTCCAGACACTGCGAGCCATTCCCGAACTGCAGAATGCCCTCGTCAAGTATGAGCCCGCCCCAGCAAACTCACTCACTGGTGAACTCCCCCAGCTGGACCTGACGAGACAGCTCCGCGATCTTTGGAAGTACATGAATGAGACACAGGAGGCCGTCGTTCCCCATGCATTCCTCAGCGCTCTACGAACTGCCTACCCGCAATTCGCCGAGCGCTCTAGGACTGGGGCAGGATTTGCGCAGCAGGATGCCGAAGAAGCTTGGACCCAGATCATAAGTTCAGCCCGGTCCAAGCTTAAGCTGTCCGAGCCTTCAGCGTCTGAAGCATCCTTCATTGACAGGTACATGTCGGGACAGTTCTCCAGCAAGCTCGAATGTGATGATCCCGCCGCCAAGGAGGCTGGCGAGGAACCAGTTCGGACCAAGGACTCATTCCTCAAGCTCAACTGCCACATTGACAGCAACACAAATCATCTTTCAGACGGTATCAGGAATGGATTGGTTGAGAAGATTGAGAAGAAGTCTGAGGCTCTAGGAAGAGAAGCTTCGTATACTAGAACGTCGGAGATCTCGCGGTTGCCAAAGTACTTGACAGTGCACTTTGTCCGTTTCTTCTGGAAGCGCGAGACCCAGAAGAAGGCCAAGATTATGCGCAAGGTTACTTTCCCCCACGAGCTTGATGTCGTCGAGTTCTGCGAGGAGCCTCTGAGGAAGATGATTGTCCCAGTCAGAGACAAGGTGCGCGAGATTCGCAAGGACGAGGAGGATATCGAGCGCTCCCGCAAGCGCCGCAAGAAGAACAACGGCGAGCCCGCTCTCGAGGATATCCCAGGCGGCATGGGCGCCAAGCTCGACAAGAAGGATGCTCAAGTTGATAAGAAGGACGAGAAGAAGACCTCGGGAGATGGTGATGTTGAGATGACGGAGAATTTCAAGACAGACGCCGAGGTCGATGCTGAAAAGGACGCTGCTCTACTCGCAGCCAAGAAGGAGTTGAATGCCCTGATTCATCCTGACCTGGCAAAGGATGACGGAGCCAACCAGTCTGGCCTCTACGAGCTCCGCGGCGTCGTCACTCACCAGGGTGCCAGCGCAGACAGTGGTCACTACACAGCCTATGTCAAGAAGCAGGGTTCGGTCGACCCCAAGACGGGCAAGAAGAAGGAGGAGGACGGCAATTGGTGGTGGTTCAATGATGACAAGGTCTCCGAGGTCACGCCCGACAAGATTGAAGCTCTTGCTGGTGGTGGCGAGTCGCACTCGGCTTTGATTCTTCTGTACAAGGCGATCCCGCTCCCTACTGCTGAAGGCGTTGTCGAGTAAGGTTTGTTACGATGACGGGCATGTTCATGAGTATGGCGTTTAAGGTTTCGTGGGTGAGGAATACAGACGAAGAAATGATAGACGTGCATTCTACCGAAAGAGCACAGAATAAAGTGTTTTACGAGGACCTTCGTTTCTGTGCCTTTAGTGACTGGATTTTCTCTATCATTGACTTGTGATGCCAACCTGACTCAGCAGTCTTTACAAAGTTGGTGCATGATTTCCTGGATACTTTGCCAATTTTTAGACCATTGATACGAAATTTGATAGCTTTGAGGTCATCCTCGACAGTAGACCACTAGTATGGCGATGTTTCTTTGCTCACGTCCAGCTGATCTTCACCCAAAATTGTACATTCCTAAGTAGGCAGCTGTTGTTGAAGGAGCGAGACTGGGTTACGACTTATGATTACAGTTAGCTCAGAATTCACATTCATACCGCATTCTCAAGAAAGCTTGGAGACAAAGCTTGGCAAGCCTGGTCTTTATTAGTCTGAATTTTGACTGCCTGGGCTCACAGAAATATGCATGATAAGTGACGGACTCGGGGACAAAAGGTATTTACTATGTAGTTATCTCCTCTCTATGGACCCTCCCTTCTTCTTCTTTTTTCTTTTTTTCCTTCTTTTCTTTTCTTTTTACCATCCTCAAGGTCATCATTCATCATTCATCAGTCCACTTCGTGAGTATGGGGTATCAATACGCCCAAAAACATAATTCAAGCCTCTTGCGGCCGACCAGCATGACCTTTGCAACGGCCCTCTGTGCAGTGAAACCAGCCAAATCTTAGAACCACGGTAACAAACGATGGACGGGGAATTCGGACGAGACATTCACCAATCTGGCTCCTCGCCATATCAGATGCAAATTAAGCGTCATTGCCACCTCCCTCACGACGAGCGTTGCGACCGCGAGTGTTGCTGCCGTTGGCAATACGGGTAGGAGTGTCGGGCTGATCATCATCCTCTCCGCCAGCCTCAGTACCAGCGACATTGCCAGCATTGGCTTGAGTATTGGCCTCATTGGCCAAGTGGGCCAAGGCATAGGGGGCGTACTGAGGATCAGCTAGGTAAGGCGACATCCACGAATACTGCGAAGCGTAGAGTGCGTAAGGGCTCATGGCGTTGGCAGCAGCCATGTGGGCAAGAGGGGTGGCCATCTGAGGACTCATCGGGTGACCCATTAGGCCGTGAGGAGCGTACTGGCCAGGCATCGGAGGGCTGGCCGGGTTGTAAGCAGTGGCGTTCTGACCGTGCTCGGTCATGGGGTAGGGAGACGTGGTGTAATTGTTTCCGGTGCCCAGGGTAGGGCTGGACCAATCATAGCGGCCAGTAGCAGTGTTGGCGACAGTGGCTGTGTCAGGGCCTGCAAGGCGGCGAGGAGCATCAGCCGAGCGGAGGGGAGTCTCGGGGGACTCGAGAGCATTGTAGAAACGGCCTTGTCCGCGCTCGTAGCTAGGGCTCTGATAAGTTCGACCTCGAGCGGCACTGAAGCGCTGGGTGCCACGAATGTTGGCATCTCTGCAGACCTTTCGCTCTACGCGAACATTGTAGCCGAAGAGCTGGTGACCCTTCTGGGAAATCAAAGCAAGTCAGCACGACAGACCAGAAGCACAAAGAGGGAAAGTATGTGACTTGGGTACTTACGAGGCCATCAACAGCGGTGGCAGCCATGTCAGGTCGTCCGAATTCGACGAAAGCAAAGGTCGTAGGAGTGCGACCATCACCACGAGGCTCTCGACTGACCAGCTGAATATCAGCAACATCACCAAACTCACTCAGAACAGTCTGGAGGCGCTGTTCAAGGAGAGGATAGCCATAAGGTAGGTCTCCGATGAAGATAGAGCGACGATCAACCTCATATCTCTGTAGCCAAAGCTCGGCTGGGTCGAGCTTGGTGACCTGAGTACCCTTCTGCTCATCGAAAGGAATGACTCGATAACGAGAGTGGTGACGGAAAGCCTACAAACAATATTAATCTCAATGAAGTATTGACTAGGGCAATAGAGAATCAACTTACACTTTGAAGCTCCTTGGTAGGGTCAAACTTCTTGAGCTTGACAAGGACGGAGCGACTCATACCCTGCTGGGCCTGGATATCAGGCGGCAACATCTCGCACTTCTCCAAGGGATAGAAGCCACGATCAGCGAGAGCATCGCGTGCCTCCTCGACTTCAAGGTTGTCGCCATTAGTGCGATGCATAATATAAGTTCCTGATCATGGTTAGCATCAACATTACCGAATCAGGAATATCTTGGAACTCACGGTTGGCGCGAACAGGCTCAGTGCGACAGGCACGACCAAAGATCATTCTACCCTTACCCTTGGCCATGGCAACCTTGGCATCGGCCTCCGACTATTAGAAAATTTTAGTGTTTGCTCACGTTTCTTAGATATTGACTTCGTTTTGAGTGATTCTTACAGTAAACTGGCAAAAGGCGAAGGGCATATTGCGAGCATCGCGGCGAATCTTGACGAATACAGTGCCATACTCGCTGAAGGAGCGAGTGACCTCTGCCTCGAGATGAACATCATCAACACCCTCAGGCAAGCTAAGTACCCCGTTAGTAAGACTTTGTTTAGAGAAGTTCAAACATTTCATTTATGAATGACTTACTTTGCGACAAAGACGCAAGCGCCAGGCGAGTAGAAAGCCTGGGCATCAACACCACCAACCTGATGGCGAGAGTCGGAGGCCATCAAACTACCCGAAGATCGTGAAGCAGGCAGCATCTGAGCAGAAGCACTACGAGTAACCGAACCCAAGTCGCGAGGCTCGGGACTTCCAAGCATTGCGCCGCTGGTGAAGTTACGGCGCAAGGTAGAACCAGGAGCGGGTTGCATATCGCCATCATCGTCACCGGTGGTGGCGACCATGTCGTGGTCAGAACTAACATGATGACGAGCATTGTCCGGAAGGCCAAGGTGAAGGCCAGCAGCATCATGATAACCCTGAGTAGAATCCAGGCCCTCGGTGTCGGAATTGCCAAAGACATCTCCATCCGTGGGAGCATTACCAAGCTGGAAGCTAGAGCCAGTCTGGTTCATCTGATCTTGAGCCTCATCGCGGGATCCACGGAGGTGGGGAGGGAGATAACTTGGGGGAAAATATTGATTAGAAGAGAGCTGGAATGAAGATGGGAAGCAACCTACGTGGCGCTAGAGTTATGGCCGATGGTCAAGGCGGGAACACTGCTGGTAAGAGCTGCAACGCCACGAGTAGTCTTGGGCGTGTCCTCGGCAGTACAGATAGATGCATCTTCAGTCGGAGCAACAGAGGGTCCTCCACTGTGAAGAGGGGCGCCGCCTAATACAAAAACTCAGTCAGATATTGCAAACCACGGACGAGTTGACGCAAAATTAGTATGGCCCAGAGATGGAAACGTCGGGCTGAGATGAACAAAGAGATGAAAACAGGATTGAATCTGCCACTGATGAAGATGCGTGATGAAGAGATAGGCTTGACTTACCTCCCTCGCTGTCGGAGGAGCTAGACATATTGCTGGGCGAGGTGAGATTGCCTCGCAGGGCGGTTGCACGCTCAGCGTTGCGACGAGCGGCAGCGGAGGCGCTGGTAGCACGACCGGTGAAGCGGAAGGACTCTTCCATTGCTGATGTTGTGCTGCTAGTATACGAGGTAGGTTGCTGATGGGAGTTGTATTCTAGTTGGTGATGATTAGTATCAGGAAGCGAGTCAAGTCTTGATGCAACGAAAAGAATCGAAAAGTGATTGCTGTCGAAACACCAAAGGTTGATGGTTTGTGGGATGGAGAAGAGAAGAAAAAAAAAAGAGGAAAGCTCCACGATTGGTAAATATTGATCGCCTGTAATAGGTATTCTAGGGGGCTCCACGTTGAAAAGGCCAGCTAGAGGTAAAACTTGGATTGTTGGCAGTGATGAGATTGTTCAGAACAAGAATGGCCTCAGAAGTGGTTGGGCAGCCTCTTTGCCAGCAGGGCCCCGGTTTTGCAGTGACGTGGGTCAACAACAATCTGGATGGCCTCAAACAAGGGTGTGCTATTGTTTCTGGGTCGTTTGAGAGCAGATGGTGTTGTACTTGTTTTAGTGCGACCGAGAAAGAAAGATGACGATCCGTGAGTCCAATCAGATATGGGTAGAGAAGAGCAATTATTAGGCTCAGGTTGTTCGAGGGGACACCAGTGAGCAAGCGGATACTATGGCCGTCGTCGTGGTGGTGATGGTGGTGGTGGTTGTCGGCGTCCTTGTCAAATTGGAGGCGATCTACCTCGAACGGAATGATCTCAAGCCTCTGATGAGTATAGAAGATTCCCATGCAAGGAAGTGTGCAGTATCACCACATCTTCGAGTGTAGAGGCCGCTCATTTGTGTACCATGCTCACAAATGGAGTAAATGACAAATTATAACCGTGAAAACAAAAGAAAATTAACTCACCAAAGAAATTCCGAAATGATCCTCCCATTTGCTTTAGAGACAAGCCTTGGGGGGTAGTGACCTAGCGTCTTGTGCTTGGAGAGCCTTCAAAGTTCTCTCATGTGAAGGAGTCGCAAAGATCGGATCCAAGAGCTTGATCCAGTTGAACTGCGGCGAGACGGGTGCTCCTGTCTAAATTTCGTCCGATCAAGATGAATCAAGCGGGATTTGATATCCAAAGGTATCGAATATCCACTTGGTCTTCTCAAGAAAACGGGCGAAAGGGCAATGTTTCTAGCAAGAAACTGGCGCCGAGTTGCTTGTTGTGTTCACAGTTGTGTCACAGCTCCAGCTCCTGTGTTCAGGCTATGAACTGCAGAGAGAACAGGGCTTTGTTGTAGAGGTCTTCTCGAAGATATTACTTGTCACAGAAACTTGTCCTGCCTGAGAAAACCCGGTAGCGCTGTGCCTCATTAGCGTTGTCATTGACAAATTACAAACAGTCACCGGAACTCTTTCCACCAAGAATGAAATCTCGTGGAGGAACAGTCCAGTACCAAGGGGATGATCGAAGGGTGTATGTAGCCACAGAGGTTGCTCACCTGAAAGGGGGACGGCCTTGTCTGACGTTGCTCAGGAAGATGGACCTTAGTCGGATGGGAAGAATTCGTCACTGGTTTGGACAGACTATAGCTGCACAGGGCAAGCTTTTGAAAATTATTTCCTTGCCAACGCAGTGGAAGCGCGTTTTGATGGTTGAGCAGTGTGGAAGGCACAGTATCTGCCGTTGGAGGTGATATGGTTCCTATTTTGCCGTTAAGTGTTTGTCCCGCTAAGCCCGTGAATAAGGAATTGAATAGTTGTGGGATAAAAATGTGCCACTGAGATCATCCAGTAAAATACAAGGTATGTTGACAGGTCTTGATGCTGTTAGGTCTTGGTACCTTTGGTCGTTGTGGTGCGCAATGACTGAGCCAGTCACTGAAGCAGGAAGGCTGGGAGAAAAAAAGAAAAAAAAAGAGAAAAAAGGCTTCCAAAGCGCCCTGTATCTGAAAATTTGAAGAGGTCCCTGCTCCAATGATTGCCGTGATTAGCTTGAAAGATTGATGCGAATGAACCAAGTACTGGTGGTCTAGAGAGATCGGAAGACTTGCGCCGACCAGTAGAACAGTGAACAAATGCACAAACGAATGACTGAATCAAGTACAAAAACGATGGTGTAATGACAGATTCGGTGCACCTGCGTCAAAAGGCTTGAAAAATGACGCTTGTAAATACGTCGATAGATACCTGGTGATTATCCTGACAGAAATGGGAAGATTGTTTGGTTCAGAGCAAGGCGAAAGGCTGCAGCGGACGTGGATTTGTCTTCTGGCCAATGAAAACACGTGGAGCTGAGCTTAAAGGGAGCCTTTTGCAAACGACACATGGGGTTTCAAAGTTACGGTGGGTGACTGCCAATTGTATTTTTTTTTTCCCCCTTATCAAAGGTCACAAGACTGGGCAAGAACCCCGGGATTGGTGGTCCGCGTGGACCTGTGCAGCCGCTGGCCGTTTCAAGCCCACGCAGCCTCCAGATATGGGCAGCTGTAATCATTCTTTGCTTTCTTGTTAGAAGTTCTTTCAATATGTATATGAAAAAGTAGTGACAAGACTGCATGCAGCTGAATTACAAAGCAGGCCGCGAGGTGGTGGGAGACTAATAAAATTAAAATGATTGTTCGTCTCTTGACGAGTGAAGTGGACCAGTACACATTCAATTCAACATGGTATGCAATCTCAACGTGATAGAGTCCATATCGTTCCCATGGGGTAGAACTTGCATGGCAGCCTAAAACTTTACGCTGTTGTCCAAGATCATCCATAACATGACTTGGCGTCAAGGGGAACGTCCCAATCTGCCCAAGACGTAGAAGAGAAAACAAAAAGGTAACTTTAAGAGGTAACTTTAAAGACACGTTATATTACATTCAACTCACTAATTCATAAAGTAGCTATAGATCATCTTGTACATGCCTAGATCCTGATGTTGTCAGGGAAGCTGAGGATTGAACAGGTGCAGGCTCGAGTAGGGACCTGGATTAATCATGAATATGTATGAAATAATAAGTAGCAAAAGTATTCCTTTGCCCCTTTCTCTTCGCTTTGGTGTATATGGGTTTTAAATTTATTCAATTCGCCATCTCTTTCACTAGTGGTGATCTTTATTGGAG